ATGAAGAGGGGTCTGGCTGTTGGGTTGCAGGACAATGCCCAAGGATGCTTTGGAGCGCCACCAAGCGGCGCTACAGCGGGTAATTGTGTGTTGTGCTGCACTTTTTCGAAGCTCAGAGGCACTGCCCTGGTCTGGTTGCGCCCTGCATCCACTCGGTCCCCAAGCCACCTCGCAGTTGTGTCCTGCAGGAGAGGCCCAATTTTTTCTACGGCACCGCTCCGGGCCGGCAGTTCTCAGCGCTGGCAGATGTCGTCTTTGGCAACCTCATCGCATACGGTCTGCGGTTGAAGGCCGGGGAGTACACAGCATGACCTGAGGCATTTGTTTTGCTTTCCCTGTTTCATTTATGACAATGCAACGATACCAGGACGGTTGCCACCTTTTACCAGACGGACGAGAGACATGCCCGGATTGCAGTGGAGATTACTAATGCAGTGTAATCTCCTCCCGTCTGCGACGCTCAGACCAAACTGTACTGCAGAGTTTTCCCCGTCAGAAGGAAGTGTAAAATCCCTCTACTTTTACAACTACCATGCTCTCTGGGTGTCCTCTTGATTTTGGCAAACAAACTGCTGCGCACAAAACGCGCCACAAACCGCGCAGAAATGCAAATCCGCGCGGGAGTTTGTCCGTTTGCCTAGATGGATGCCCTTCAGCAACGAGGACAACGCACAGGCCTCAGGCGGCCACACAAGGCCTTGCTCCTCACTTCAGGTCGGTTCCGCCACACTGTCACTGGTCACGGTGTTAGCTGGGGCGAGCTGCATTGCGAGGGTCGCGGCCGCTATTTTCGATCGCGGCCGCTATTTGAGTCCAGTTGGTGCCAACCGCCGCCCACCTGCCGCCAGCGGCGTGGCGTGGCCCTGCCCTATCGAGCACTTTGCCTGACCATTCGCAGGGCTGTTTCTGGTTTGGGGTCTCTACACGGGCACTCTGCCATCCGCGCCTAGCCAGCATGTGACTCCCGCCATCTGTCAGGGGCAGGCAGTAACGCAGGTAGGCCGGGTGGTTCACTTGTACGCTTTGTATCCATGTCTGTTTTTGCTGCTCAAAGTCAACTCATGCACAGCCAAGAATAACCACAGAAATGCTTATACATATGCTTCTTCGGATCAACGTTTTGCAGGCCCCATTGCCGCCACCCTGGCATGCGGTGCGCGACTGCAAGATTTACATCCTCGATCTCTCTGCAGATGTGGCCCCTGCGCTGGGAATACCTCAGTGTGACATCAATGACCCAAAGGTTGGTATAGTGCAACTGTGAGGCTGAGATGGGCTGTTCATCTGTCGTGGGTTGTAATGGAGCCTGCCACACCAGCTCAGTTGTTGTTTCCATGCATTCACCTGCAGGTGTGGCCTCTTGCTGAGCCGGGGGAGCTGCCATGGAGCTTGCAGCGCATGGAGTCGATGCAGCACATGCACTACCAGTATGCTGGGCAGTACTGGCTGACACAGGCGCTCAGAAATGCCAGCGGCGTGCTGACTGACAACATTGACGAGGCGTGCCTGGTCTGGGTGGACACATACTGCTATCAGCAGGTCAGCTCATTATGCCCAGGGCGACTTGTTGGTGCTGCTGGGGAACCTGAGCACACCTCATTTAAATCGAGTTGGAGCGTGCTGGACTGCTTGTTCTCCTGCTCTCTTTGTGCAGTGGTGGATTATCCAGAGAGCTATCAGGAAGCGCGACTTGCCGGGTTACCATCAGAGTGAAATTGATGTTCAACGAGTGTACAATCAAGCGCTCAAGCACATTGCAACCTCTGAGCACTTTCAGGTTCGTTGATCAGTTGCAAGCGCTCCCACGCACCCAGAAACCCTTACTCCTTACTATGCTGTAGATGTCGATGCCCACTGCAGAGGCGCCAAGGGCGTGGATACATCTTCTACATCCCCAATAAGGACCCCAGGGCTGGGGCCCCATTTGCAAGATTGTGCAGTGACCTGTTGCTGTCTTACTTTTTGATTCGCGAGAAATCAGAATGTTGCCGCAACAGGGCAAAGATACAGCTGCGCGAGACACAAATTTTGCCTTACTGCACAGGTGAGAGACATGTGGTGGTGAGGGTGGGTGTACTGCATCTGATGCACGGAGATCTTGCGGATCCCAAGGGCTGCCTCAACGACACGAGCCAGATATGTTGCTGTGCTTGAATGCCAATACCCTCACCCTCCCTGCAGTGGCCAACGTGGATTTGGCAGCTCCCATTGTGGGATCTCAGAGACCGACATTTCTTTTCATGACTGCCTCATGCATAAGAAGAAACAACAATTGTGGCAAATTCATGCGATATTCCGCAGCTGTCGCTTTCAACAACACTGCACCCGACGTCCAGGTTAGGAACCAGCGCCTTCCTCGCGTGGTACCATCGTTGTCATTAAATCCAATATTTGTCCTTGTGTGTTGCAGGTCTTATGCACAAACCTTCCTGTCAAGGTTTCCAAGTCGTACTCAGAAGTACAGCTGGAGATGCGGAAATCTGTCTTTTGTCTGCTTCCCCCGGGCGACACCGCCGCAGCAACCGCCTGACGGAGACCATTCTGTCCGGCTGCATCCCTGTGGTGCGCGGCACTACGCTTGATTGCATGTTTCAGAGACATGAGGGTTGGGGATGATTCTCGCCGCCACTGACCAATGCGTGCTTCATGCTTTCCGCTGTGTTCTGCAGTTCATTGGGCCGCCGTGGCATGAGATGCCTTTCCACCGTGGCGAGGTTGATTGGGCCTCCATGGCGGTGTTCCTCAACATTACGGAGGCCAGCTGGCTGGAGAGTCCTGACTGTCAGTTCAAACAGCAGAAGTGGTATCAATCTGCGGATGTTGGGTTTGCAACGGTTTCTGTTCCAGACCTGCCAGCGGCATATGAGTACCTGCGGTGAGTTGCGTCGCAGCGCCGTGTGTTTTAAG